TGGGGTTGACTGGCTACTATAGGAGATTTGTCAAGGGGTACAGCAAAATTGCTGCTCCATTAATTCAGTTATTGAAGAAGGATGGATTCAGATGGGATGATGAGGCTACCGTAATTGACCATGACCACCCTACCAGTACTAAGAACCCCTGATTTCAGTAAGACCTTTACTGTGGAAACTGATGCTTCCGGTAAGGGTGTGGGGGCTGTATTGATGCAGGAAGGAAGGCCCATAGCCTATATGAGTAAAGAACTAGCTGCCAAACACCAAATGAAGTCAGTCTATGAGAAAGAATTTATGGCAATAGTTTTTGCTATCCAAAAATGGAGACCCTACCTTTTGGGTAGACAGTTTGAGGTGATAACAGACCAAAGGAGCCTAAAATACCTTACTGAGCAAAGGATTATGGGAGAGGATCAACAAAAATGGATCACTAAGCTGATGGGTTATACTTTTGTGATCAAATACAGACCAGGAATGGAGAATGGTGCAGCTGATGCTCTTTCTAGGAAGATGATTATGTTTTCCTTACGCATAGTGACTTGTCAAGAGTGGAAAGGACTGGAGCAAGAATTGGAGAAAGATTCATGGTGTGGTGGTATCATTCAGAAGGTTTTAACTCAACCAGACAAGGTGAGGAATTTTATGATCAAAGGTGGATTGCTATATTTCAAAGGAAGGTTGGTAATACCAAAAGGGTCTGGCAGAATTGCAAAGATATTAAAAGAGTATCATGAATCTGCATTGGGAGGACATCCAGGCCAAATCAGGACAATGAAAAGAATATCCAATCTATTCTACTGGGTGGGGATGAGATCTGAGGTTCAAAGATTTGTTCAAGGGTGTGACACATGTCAGAGGAACAAATACCAGGCTTTAAAACCTGCAGGTTTATTGCAGCCTTTACCTATACCTACTCATACTTGGACTGATATCAGTATGGATTTTGTGGGAGGTTTACCTCAATCTTTTGGAAAAGATACCATCTTGGTAGTGGTTGACAGGTTGTCAAAATTTGCTCATTTTCTACCTCTATCACATCCCTACAATGCTAAGGAAGTTGTTGAGTTGTTTATGAGAGAAGTAGTGAAAATACATGGATTTCCCAGATCTATAGTAAGTGATAGAGACAGCCTCTTCTTGAACACATTCTGGTCAGAATTATTTAAGGCAGCAGGTACTACACTGAAGTATAGTATTGCATATCATCCTCAAAGTGATGGACAAACGGAAGTATGACTGACAAGAAACCCAAACAGTGGGTTAAATGGTTGTCATGGGCAGAACTATGGTACAACACAAATTATCATATATCCTTACAAGACACTCCTTATAAGGCACTATTTGGTCAAGACCCACCTGTAATTATCAGGGGAGATGTCAGCCTATCATCTGTGGAGGAAGTATCAAAATTGACAGCAGAAAGAAATGAAGTGTTGAAAGAATTGAAAGAACATTTGGCTCAGGCTCAGAATTTAATAAAGCAACAAGCTGACAGGCATAGAAGAGAGTTGAAGTTGCAGGTTGGTGACAGGGTGTATTTGAAGATACAGCTTTACAAGATGAGGAGTCTAGCCAGGAGAATTAATCAAAAATTGAGTCCCAGGTTCTATGGACCCTTTGAGATCCTAGAAAAATAAATCATGTGGCTTTCAAATTGCAGCTACTTATAGGGTGCAAGATCCATCCAGTCTCATATATCCCTTTTGAAGGAGTTGAAACCTGCAAGCTTCTACCAAGATCTTCCTAAATGTTTAATTGAGGATTGTGAATTATTAGTGTGGCCAGAGGAAGTGAAGGGTAAATTCAGCCGGAGAAAAGGAAGTTTTGATTAATTGGAGAGATCTTCCGGAGTTTGAAGATTCATGGGAGACAGAACATAACATCAAACAGCAATTTCCTACTTTCCAACTTGAGGGCAAGTTGGATTTTCAGGAGGGGAGAATTGATAGAGACTTTACTAATCTGAAGAGAGGAACTAAATACTTTAGTAAAGTGTATTCTAGAAGGAAGTAGGGTCGGTTATTAGTTAAGTCTGTTGTAAACAATAACGACCTGTTGTTAGACTTCCTTACTATAAATAGTATACGGCTGGGAGTAGTAGTTAGGCTGTTTTGACTTGTAGTCTGGATTGGGAGATAAGAGTTGTACCTCTATCTTGTTGCCTAAGAAATAAAGTTGCCTTTACGTTCTTGATTCAATCATTTGTTCTGTTAGAATCAAATCTGCAGGTTTCTAACACTTGGTCAGGATGCACTCTTACAATTGCTAGATCAGCTAAATGAGCAAGTGGTAGGCAGAAAAGAAACTGCTGGGATTTTATACTTCACTGGCACTTCTGATGGCTCATGGGAGTCTCACCTTTATTGTTCGAAACTGTTCCATGAGTTAAACTGTACTCCAGAAACACTATTAAGATTCACACAGGGGAGAGGAAAACACGTGGTTGTGCTTGATCATCAGATGTATAGACTTGTTGACATTTTTAAATTGTTGATTTCACCTCCCATAATCTTAGTTTTCGCCTTGCCTGATGGAAGTTTCAGCATGCATTTGCATGAACAACCAACCCCAATGAGTATTCCAAGACTCAAAATGTTCCAACTGGAAACGCCAGAGATAATCCATATACAAGGACAACAGGGGAATATTACCTTATATGGGACTTTATATAAACCTGATGAGGGAAGGTTGGGATCTCTGCCATATCAAACTATGATTCATGTATATGGGGGTCCTGGTGTCCCACTTATCAGTGATTCATGGGAAACCACAGTGGACGAGAGAGCTCGATTTCTAAGGAGAGGCATCATAGTTTGGAAGCTCAAGGGTACAGGGGGGCCTATGCCAATGAATTGTGGGAACAGGGTCTGTTATGGGGTTTATGTGCTGGGAACGCACTTGGACAGTGACCAAAACTGCAGTACAGACAAGTGGATGGTAATTGGAGAAGTTTGCATGGGGTTATTTGCAGACATTGAGTTGAGCAACATCAAACTTACATCCAGCACACTGCTAGTTTCAGAAGAGAGAACCTCAAAGGAGCCTCAGGAAAGCAAGGAAAAATTTGTGGCTATTCAAGGCTTGAAGGTTAATGAAGAGAATGAAACTTCACCAGATAGATCCTATGCTGCAGAGACATATGTGAATTGGAAAGATCAAGTACTGAAGATCCGCGCTCAGAAATCAATGAGATACTAAGAAGGTAGAGGCGCCACGATGAAGATGAAGTGGAAGTTCAAAGTTGTCTCCTATCACCCACCTTGAGGACAAGGTGGTTGTCTAAGGGGGAGATATGATAGGGCCTTGGGCTGTAGAGAATAATAATAATAGTAGTAATAGATTGATATTAAATAAGTGTGGTATTGTATAAATAAGGATCCCGGGCAATGTCATAAAATATGGGTTGGCCCGTTAGAATATAATTACTATAAGAGTGGGAAGGAGGGAATAAAAGGGTAGGCAGAAATTGTGTTAGGCTTTGGACTTGGGAGAGAGAGACACTCTCGAAATTGTCTCGTTATCGATTTCTAGTGTTCATCTTCATTTTCTTCCGCATTCTATTGTAATCTCCCGGTGGATTCTGGATACTTATATGTATTCAGAGAATTAATATGCAAATACTTCTTCTAATCTGTTCTGAAATCGTTGGTTCCTATCAAGAATATGATGGAATAGCAAAATGACTCACTAAATTGGTTGTACTTCTTTGTTATGAAGCAGCAGTCAGTCCATGAAATTCACGACGTGGTTTTCACTACGGGCATCCAGAAACAGTGTCTCTTTGTGCTTTAGTACAGGGGTAAGACTACATACATCTGACCCCCTTTACCCCACATACGGGATAGGGGAGGGAGTTACGACATGGCCGGGATGATATGAAACAGAATCTGGGCTTGGAAGAACAGGGGCAGAAGCCTTCGTGGGTTTACTGAAGGCGGGGACGGGCCCGTGGGCTGGTTGCGGGATGCTTAATTAATATTTATTCTTTTTAATTTTCTTGATTTGTTTCCTATTAGGAGTTAATTAGGATCTCTATTATTTGTTTCCTATATAAAGTTGATTAGGATCTTTATCATTCTGTTTCCTAGTTGGAGTTGATTAGGATCTTTATTTTTTTGTTTCCTAGTTGGAGTTGATTAGGATTTTTAGGATTTTGTTTCCTAGTTTAAGAATTAGTGTATGGGTATTTAAAACCCTTGTTAGGATTCATTCTGGCTCATCTGGGAATAAAAGTTGGTTTAGCCTTTTGGCTCTGGGCAACGGTATTTATACTGGGCAACGGTTTACCCAGTTGATTTTATTTTTCTGTTCTTATCACTGGGGCAGGGCGTTGGGACAAGCTCCAAGGTTGCGGTAGCGGTATGTGGCAGCTTGGAGGAAGGGTGTGTTGGTGGGATAAGGCAATTGCAGGGGATGGGTCACTGGCATCACTAGCGACGGGCGGTGATCACTTGTGGCGTAACTGCCATTGGGCAACGGGTAATTGTGACTATCACCGGAATAGTTGATCACCAGAAAAAATAGGTCACCCAAGAGTCAAGACGGTTGTCACCGTGATATTGGTCATGGTGGTGTGGGTCACTATACTGCCGAATGATAACATTAATGGTCTTTTTAGTCCCTTTTTGGAATTTTTGAAAAGTAATACTACATCCCTTCCACAAAAGAAGGTGTCATGGTTACCCTGAATCATACAATGTTATCAATGTTATTGACTTATTGGGATGAAAGTACACTAGGTATCCTGATTAACCTCATGTCAAAAGTGCTTTTGGGCTGGCCGTGCCTAAGGCTAGGAATTTCACAAAACATTTAGGATGTTTTTATTTGGATTGTTTTCAATCCAAGACCAATTCAGACCAGACTTGAATAGTTATAAAATACACAGAGACCAACTTTTTCTATACCAGACCAAATAAGACCAAATCCGACCAGATAAAACCAGCAAATTTCATTAAAAATCCTTAGACTTTTGAGAAGTAGGGGGTATGATATACTTGAGCAACAATACCGGTGGGACGGTGCTTGAGCCGCACAGCAGACTCTCTCTTGTTACGGTGTTGTCCGCCCGGGCCGGACGACTTGAATGTATTCATCTCGCACTGCCGCAGCAGCTGCTCCTCTGACATCATCAAGTACTCCCGGCCGTCTATAGCCTTATCGTCTGCCGAAGTTGCGGGGGTGCTGAACTCCGCTGAAAATATAGCCATAATTCCCCTAACTCGTTCCCTACTTTCCTTCCAACTCATCGCATGTTTTGCTTTATTGAATGAAGAGATTGAGAGGGCGCAGCGGCGGGTGGGCCAAATGAGGGAAGATGAGAACGATGTAACCGCAATATGGCCGGTTGTCAGCGGAAACTTTAGCAATAATTTACAGATAGAATGCACCATCGCCATTGATTAATCCAGAATTGAAATCCTAAGTGCTTTATTCCTTTCCGGATAATCAGTTCCGATTGTCGACTGCGCGGTTCCGGTCACATAGAAATTTTTACGGGCACACAGGGACGGATACCAAGAGATCTCCAATGACTAGTATACAGGTTATAATTATAATTCGAAAAAATTGATAGTAATAATCTCAACTATTGGTGGTCCGCTCATAATAATCTCAACTATTAATTATTACAGAATAATCTCAACTTTAGGGACCTTCCGCCAATAATGGTCCTATGAATAAATTCTTGTAGTTTCTAAAGTGGATGAGGTGAGATATAACAAGTAATCCCTCTAAATAATCTCAACTTTTAATTTTTGCGCTTACTTTCTATTTAAAATTCACTTTTTATAGAGGTAATATATGGTCATGGATCATTATTGGCGGATAGTCTATATAGTTGAGATTATACAAAAATAATCAATAGTTGAGATTATTTTGATATTTTCAGCGGACCGGCAATAGTTGGGATTATTATTTTCAATTTTTCCTTATAACTTTGTTTGCCACATCAAACTTTCCCAGCCTTTCCTGGTTAGTACATTTTCCAAGCCATATGGTGCGTAAGATCGAGCAACTAGAATTAATGGCGTGGTCTCTTACACACGGCATAAGTCCCATTTTTTATCTCACAATTTAGGACCCATCACCCATGTATTTAGGACTGCACAAGAATAACTCAAACACGCATAACCCGTCCGACCCAACCCTACCTGATCTTATTTAATTGGGTGTTTGATTTTTAAAAATATTCATGAGTTAAATATGTTTGAACCCACACTTAATGGGTAGGGTTGCGGAATTAACATCTCAAACCCGATAGTACCCGACCGGCCGAAGTTCATTTTACTATTATCATGCTACAATGTTTTCTCAGATAATTTCAATTTAAGACCAATGTGCTCTATCTATGACTTTATGATATTCGAATTATAATTACACATTTATCATTTTGACTAGGTGATTATTACGGAGTATATATTTATGTTTCCTTCTAAATGAACTTCCTTTACGGAAAGATGTTTTAATACTATTACATAATGTTTTTGCTTATAAATGATACGAGTACTTGTATTTGCTTCTGTGTTTTGGAAACAAGTTAGTCGAGTTTTAATTGATTACATTAATTTCTCACATAAAAGATGCAATCCGAAGTGATTCTTTCCCCCAACACCCGACCCTACCCGACCCGTTCATGCATGATTTACCAACTTATTTTGCGTACCGCGGGTTGGTTAATAGTCAACCCGAACAAATCGGGTAGACCCAAAAAATATAACAAACCCGACCCAACCCGCCCGATGTGCAACCCTACACGTATTTCCTAATTTATTTTCATTTTCATTTATTTATATCACTTTTAACCCACTTTTCATCAACTTTTCCTTCTCGAATCCCGCGTAAAGTCTATATATGGACCTTGTCATAGGCCTTAGTCCATTTTTACCTCTATCTCTCTCCTCTTTTTCTTTTTTCCCTACACACCACTTCATTCAAATATTTATTATATCTCTATCTCTCTCATATGTCACATCAACTGCCATGCACCCTGCCATTGGAGATGCTCTAATGGTTAGCTAAAATGTTTTCATCTTGAATAGACCCCCACAATTCCCACAAATGACAAATCAAGCAATTTGGAAAATATACATTTTTAATAAATTGATTTATTAATACAATAAAAATAATACTTATTCTTAAATACTTTTAGATTGGGAAAATGTTAACGATATTTTTAAACTCATCAATTATCAGTGCTATATTATTATAACAAGGATAATATGAAAATGCATAGTTTAAAATTAATACCAAAAATGTATTTTTATCCGTTAAAAGATACTCTCTCCGTCCCAATTTGTTTTGCAAAATGTCCTTTTTTGCCTGTCCCAAAATATTTTTCCACTTTCCTTTTTAAGCAAAGAGAAATGAATAAAATGACACTTATGCCCTTACACTTGCTTTTCCCATTTACGGATAACTCCCAGTCCCCCACCATGACACTTTATCCCACTGCCCAATACCCATCATGTTCAAGCTTCTCTTTTCTCTCCTAAAATTCCAATTTGAGATGAGCTTCATAAACCTTGTACGTATTTCAATTAGCTCCCAGATTTTAAATAAGATGAGGAGGCCTGGAAATCGGCACTTGGAGGCATGTCAATGCCGAGGTGCGTGAAGGAGTCACCGCTCCCCTAAACAAGCTCGGAGAAGACAAAAAAGAACAAGGCTCCTGGAGCGGAAATCGGAGAAGAGAAGATGAATCCCCATGTGAGTAGAAGAAAGAAAGAAAATCGCCATTGTTGTACGGTTGAAGACAACAAAGGCGAATGGGGTGATTGGGTGTCAGCTTTGAAAAAGTAAATAGTCCTGTAGCAATTGCACTTTTGTCATGATGTTCGTGTTTTCATGCAACACTGACATTTTTCCTTTTTGGAAGAAAGGGTAAAATAGGAAAATCAACTTTTATTTCTACACTTTCTTAATCCTTGTGCCGGTCAAAGTTTACACCTCAATTCGGGACGGGAAGTATGAAATACGAAGTAGGAAACTTTAACAACACATACATACGAAAAAATATCAACTTTAAATATGTTATGATAAAATTAAAGATTTCTTATATACATAAAAAATATAAGAAATATATTTAATTAATATCAATTCAAAAGAAATTAAAACCCCTTTTGGGACTTAACCATTGTATTGCAGTACTTTACTTTACCATTGGATTTTTAATTAATTTAGTACTCCCTCAATATCATTCAAAGGTTGTCATTTTCCTCTTTGGATGTCCCATATAAAGATTCTAATTTTTATTTTAGAAAATAATTAACACTCTTAAACGATAACTTAATAATCGAATATTAAAAATAATACATTTTCAACATCATCGTTATCATCAATGACTCCATTATATTATATACTCATCAAATATTTTTTTTTCAAAATATACTCAAATAACTCTATTTATAATTATCTAAACAACCGGGTCACTTTACAATGGGAACTTTTAACTCTTTAAGCGGGATAGAGGTAGTATATCATTTACCCAATAGATTAAATATATTTGGGAATTACAATTTTAGTTCAAACTTCTCTCCTTTCTAGCAACTAGCTTGTATTGGCTAATTTAACTCTTTCTAGCAACTTTCAAACACGCATTCAATAGGTAGAATCTATAGTAGTTCTTAATTCAAAAATAAGTACAACTCCAGTGTGATGCTCGGTTGGTGAAATTTAAAGGACGAAGTTTTACTCAAATTAGAAAGAAAAAAAACATACACAATAATCAAGTTTGATGTAAAATGAAATGTATTCAATACAATTTATGGAGTATCAATGATTGTGGAGTAGCGCACAAATGTGTATAGTCTAACAAAATAGTAACACTCAATACAAATATAATTTGAAAACAAATTACATTCTATACTTGACTCTAAGAAAAACTTATTTATACAGAAAATTCATGGTTTCACATTTCATTCTCATGTCATCGTTTGTGTGCAGTGTCATTTTTTACGTTTAGCGGTTGCTTACTCTTGACAAAACCATGCACGGTTGGTGATTTTTTCTTACAAATATGTACTTAACAATACAACATATGTATGTGTGAAAGTGTTTCACGTTTGATAAAATTCCTAAACATGATACCGTATCAAACATTTAGAAAGCATTGTACAATTACTAAGAAGAGAGGATATGAAAGAAGCTGATATTGCCAAATAAGAGACAAATGATTAACATCCAAATATATATTTTTGGAAAACATCCAAATATATAAAACCTAAAAAACTGATATAGTATCAAAATGTATCACATAGAACGCTAAATGTTATAGAAGACTAGCTTCCATATAAACAATATTTTGAATCACTCGTTTCACCTATAATTAGGATTTTCAACCCGTTTTAATTAGTCACCCAAGACATAACACGTACCGTCGAGTTGACCGTGGCTAAACACGTTGTTTTTCAACAACAATCTAACACGGGATGATTGCTCTTGACTTTTACTTAGAATCATCGCATAAGAAGTCATGATCATGTATTATCACCGTTAAAATTTGAATGACAAGCTAGCATATGAAGGGGTTAAGGATAACTTAAGGATCGAAACTTTTTTTTGGCACTCACACAATCACACCAGTTAAAATCTTACACTCCAAAACATGATCCCCAAGCTTCGTTAGAATAAGTCGATTTCCGTTTACCCTTGTGAATGATATACATTTCTTAAAAGTATCATAGGAGTCATAGGTTTGAATGATCTATAATCACGCGCGGCTATGAATGTCTCTCAAGGATGCTTTGGAAATAAAACTTTTTGTGTCGCACTAATCCTTATTAAAATCCTCTTTTATAGTAAAATGTTTTGCTAGCAATTCACCCTCGTGGTGCACAAATGACTTTGCGAAAGAGTTTTCCATTTTCAAAGGTATATATGTGTGTATCAATTGAAGGTGAATTATTTATAATGACTAAGTAATAGGGCGACTTTACGTTATATGAATCGCACTCTTAGACAAATTGCTCGTGTTAACAGACAAAACAGGGGGTGTGCAGATATGTGAAAGTGTGTTATGTCATTTTTAAACTATACTTAAATATATATCCATATGAAAATGTTCAAATATTCCCTTCTACAATTTCAAACGTTTTAGAAAAAAACACTATCTATCATTTATTTCATTTATGAAAAAATAATGGTATCATTAGTTTCACTTTTACTATGTATCACTTTTAATTATAAACAGGTTCTAAAAATATAAGCAAATGCTAAGACCCCTTAATTAAAAAAAAACTTGTGAAATAAAAAAATAAATCTTGACATGTAGTGGACTACTTTATTTGTTGTGAAATAAAATTGAAATTGACTAAATTGATTGAATTTGTTGAAATTGATGAAAATTTGAAAGAGACTAAATTGAATGAATTGTGGAAAGTCATATTTGAAATATACTCCGTATTTTTTTAATAAAAAATATAAAATTATATAAGAAAATAGATAAAATGGTATTCTACAGTAATTTCAGTCAATTCAGCCAGAAAAGTAATTATAACCTTACTTACACTAATTATTACTCCATCCGTCCCAAAAAATTCTTCCCAATTTGACTTGGATCGGAGTTTAAGAAAGTGTGAATAACGTGAAAATGTATGATTGTAGTTGAGTAAGAAAAAGGTAAATGAATGATAGTCACACAAACCTTTCCAAAAAGGGAAACGGGAAGAAGTTTTTGGGACGAATCAAATTGGTAAGTGGAAAAAATTATCGGAGGGAGTATAAGATTGTTACTTAATCAAAATATAGATCTGAGAAGTTTCGCTAATAAAAATAATAGGTACATAATACATGCTACAGTTGTTGTGTTTATTGATTCGGAAGTAAAAGTTTTTTTAGCGCATTCAGAAGTAAATGTTGAATTACATAGTTGCATGTAATATATGCTAGAGATTCTGGAATTTTATCTTGATTCTCAGTGATAAACCATTTCAAATCATTGAAAACAAAAATAATTAATGATTAAAAATTTAAAATAAAATGTAGAATAAAATACAAAGGCACCATTGTTAGCTGTAGTAGCATTTTTTTGTAAGTCCAACTTTTTTTTTTCATTTGACTATGAAGATTACATTTGAAGATCCACAGTATTAAAGCCCAATATAACGGCTCAATGAATTTTCAGCTTGTAAATGCAAAGTTGGTTTCCAATCTTTCATGTCACGCCCCAGACCGCGTCTGTGCCACGTGGACAACCGTCGTACAACTCAATAAGATTAACCGCAGTTCATCCTTACCGAATTGCACAAAACCGAATAGTAAACATACATAACAACATCAACATACAATTAAACACATAGCGGAAAATAAGTGTTTAATAAGAACCCACACAAAGGTAAAACAAGAGCTCGCAGGCTCCATTAATTTATAAGTCAAAATAGTTCCATGAGCATTATTTAATTATTTATAAATAGAACCAGAGGAAGCACGAACCACATCTTCTCTACATCGATCTCCCGAACAACGGTTGCAGGAAGTAAGCTCTAACTTCAACCTGAAATGGGTGTTCCCCCGAGGGATCAGTACTACAGAAAAGTACCGGCGAGAGCAAACTGTATGTAATGTAACTAACGTTTCTCACGTGAGACCCTCAAAATAAGGTGATAGTATAAATATGGGCATAACTCTTAGCTACCCCTTTTCAAAACAAAATGTATACATATATACACATGAGTAAAATATCCGGCCCATGGGCCCATTTGTCTTTCCAATCATTTAGGCGTAACAACCTCATTATATTCACCTTTCTCATGTTTTACCCTCGAGTGGAGTCACACGCAGGCTAATATCACCCGATATCAAAATATAATTACTGTGGGGGGCCTTCGGACTCCCATATCACGGACATGGTTTAAATCAATTCCTTGACCAAGGAAAATATCCTATCGGAAACTCGTTCCCGATTAAGCACGTTTAATCATTTAAAATCATTACCTTGAGGTTCACCTACCCCGAGGACTATTCGTCCTTGCTATCATAGTTTTCATTTTCGGGTTAACCCCGCCTCGAGGAGTACGCATACACCCTCATCCTATGTGTAATTTACTGGAGGTTAACACACCTCAAGGACTACACGGGCTCTTGTTACCTATGTGTAATTTGTTGGAGGTTGAACACACCTCAAGGACTACATTTGCCCTTGTTACTCATATGCACTTTGATGAAGGATAACACACCTCAATGACTGCATTTGCCCTTGTTATCTATATGCAATTTGATGGAGGTTAACACACCTCAAGGACTACATTTGCCCTTGATACCTATGTGTAATTTACTGGAGGTTAAACACACCTCAAGGACTACATTTGCCCTTGTTACCTATGCGTAATTTACTGGAGGTTAAACACACCTCAAGGACTACATTTGTCCTTGTTACCTATGTGTACTTTACTGGAGATTAAACACACCTCAAAGACTACACTTGCCCCTGTTACCTTATCTTGCCGTGCAAGTTCTTTAATAGTACCGTTTGCATCATCATACTCCAATTAACTTAGGGCTAACCTTTATCAAGGTTCCCCGTTTACCTCAAGCCATGAATGGACCGCTTCGGGTCCAAGTCATGCTCATACAACTAATATCGGGTCCCACCAGAACCCGAGTTACTCATCGAGACATTTAAACTTAACATCACATTACTCGACCTTAGCCGTGATAGTCCTCGGTCAACTACAGATCAAACTTAGTCTTAGAGTTGGTACTAAACTTAAACTATCAAACCTCGGGCTAGCCTCGCACCGACTACCCGATCCGAATTATCGTTTGGAAATAAAGAACTCCGACCAGCATCGGACACGGCCTAAGTGGCACCGAACATAAGTATTAATATCCGAAAAAAATTAGGTCCAACCGGCGCCGAACATAAGCCAACCGCGCCGGACATAAATATTGTTCTGCCGGAAGAAAAGTCCAACCGGCGCCGGACATAAGTCCATCGTCGCTGGACGTTGCGACTTCCAACACATAAGGCGTCTGTTTTCAACCAGCGTTATCAATCGGCCCACATTTTACCCCAACCGGCGCTGGACATAGCCCAACCGACGCCGGTCAATGCTGTAGCATTTCGGTCCACCATCCGAACGGGGCCCGATTTCTACGAAATTTTATACACTTATACAACAAGTCATTCTTAGTCCAAAAATATCATTTTTGACCTCCAAAACGTAATTTATAATCATTTTAATAATACTTATTAAAAACATAATTTTGAATTTTTGGTCACTAATGATTTTTAATCACTTAAGGATTTTGGTCACTAATGATTTAAAGTCACTGACGGATTTTGGTCACTAATGATTTTTAGTCACCGTAACATCATTGTAGCATGAGTGAGTGGAGTTGTATTAGTTTAAGGATATAATAGTCTCTTAGCCTCTTTTTAGCCTCATTTTTGGAACCAGGGAAAAAATGTCACTTTTTTGTCAATAACAATTTTTTAGTAATATTTTTGACATAACCCCAAAATATATTCTGATGCATGATGTTTGTCGACGATATTGTATTGATTGATGATACGCAACCGGGTGTTAAAGTAAAGCTGTAGCAAGCCTGAGTATATAAAGTACAAGTTTGGTGGAGATAGAAATAGTAGTAATGGTGGGATTACTCTTAATGATAATTAAGGAGGTACCGATGTGTAATATGTTCCGTTACTTTGGCTCCATAATTTAGAAGAATGGTGAATAAGATGAAGATGTATCTCATAGAATCAAAGTTGGGTGGATGGAGTCGAAGAGTGCATCAGGAATAGAGTGAGGGGTAAATTTTATCGCACAACAATTAGACCTATATTAATGTATGACGTAGAGTATTGGGCAGTGTCACATTCATAAGATCAGTGTGACAGAGATGTGTATGTTGCGTTGGATGTGTGGAAATATCATAAAAGACAGTTTGAGGAATGAGATGATCAGACAAAAAGTGAGAGTAGCAGCTATAGAAGTGATAGGGTATTAATTCTAGAGAGAAGTGAGAGCTAGAGAGAAAGTGAGTAATTATATTTCTCAACTTGGAACCCCCATAATTAGCCCTTTGGGGTCTATTTATAGGTAAAAATGTGGATTTGGGCTCCTAGCCTTGGGCTTAGGAGGCCCATTACAATAATCATGCCTTCTTTGGGCGAAATAAGGCCACTAATGGGCTGTGTACAATACTTAGTAAATACAATGAAAAATACATTCTGCCTGGACGAAGTCCGGACGATGCGGTCCATGGACGATGCGGACCCGGACGATGCGGTCCTGGACGATGCGGATTCTGGGCTTCACCCAAAGAATCCGGGTGATATCTTCTTCTGTGGACGTCGCGTGCCTTTGGCCGATGCGGGTGTCCCGCTGGTGTCTTTTGGGTCGTTGAGTATGTGGGCCATGGGGTCCAGGCCCATATACTCTATCAGGAGTCCCCCACTCTCTGAGCTGAGATGTAGACGAAGCGAAAGGGAGTATCCTTGCCTTTGTTCCTATGCCGTAGAGGTTTTCTGTGTTCTGATCCATTTTCTTGACGTTGCGTTTCTTCTAAGGAATTTTGAACGTTGCGATACCTTTCTTATCCTTGTGCGGTCAAGCTCTGAGTGGTGTTTTTGATTCTTGAGACGAAGCGTTGCACCGCGTATTTGTGCGAAGCTTTAGTAGCTGATGCGCAACTATGTGATGTCTCTGGACGTTGCGGTTCCTTGGGACAATCTTCATTTGTTTTGTTGAAGCTTTAGTAACCGAAGCTTGTCTAAGTTTCTCTGCCTGATTGGAGCCGCTGTGTCCCGTTTTTCCCTTTTCTTTAGCCGATGCGATCCTCCTGTATTGGTGGACGTAGTAGTACTGCTAACGAATAAGCCGTTGCGCGCTGCTCTATGTTGTGTAGTTGATTTAGGGATTTTATAGCCGACACAATCCTTAGTACTTTGATGGTAAGCCGATGCGATCCTCAGTGCATTTGAGGCAAGTTGTGCCTTTTGTTATTGGCGAGCCGTAGCGCACCCTCTTTGCATTAAGGCCGTTGCGTTTCTTTTCTCGTAGCCGATACAGTCCCCCACTCCTTTGGCCGAAGAGTATCTGAGGCACAAGGGAGTAATGAGCCGATGCGGTACCTATGCGTTAGTCGCGACTCCAACCCTTAGGCGAACCTGTCCAAGGTAACCCTGTGGGAGAACCCTTGGACGAAGGCCGCAATGCCAGGGTTATCATCGACGATGCGCGCACAAGCGGCCGTAGCGGTCTATTAAGGTTCTTTGGGTTGTTGTGAGGACGTGGAGTTTAGGTCGATGCGTTCCTTTTTCGGAAGTATGGGCCAATGCTTGCTTTGGAGCTTTGTAGTAATTGGGCCGTAGTGGTACTCGGCCGATGCCCTGCTCCTTGTAAGGTTGAGTTGGGCCGTAGGGGTGCTTGCATGAGTGATTTTGAATTGGTACCCCTTGATAGGTTGGAGACTTGGAGGAGAGGTGGCCGTTGGTGGAGCCAATGGGATGGCGCCACGTGTAGTGACCGTTGGAAGGTCCCTATAAATACCTCCTAGCCCCGAAGCCGTTTCCTTATTTGCATTTGCTAAGTGTCGAATTGCTGTTGAGATTTCTAGAGAGAGAAGTGCTTCCCAGAATCTTCCAAGTGTTTCTTCAAATCTTCAAATCTTAAAAGGTTAGACACTCTAATTTTCCTTTGATTTCTTCATATTTTGCTCCTTAGGGTGTTAGATCTAGTGTTCTTTAGGAAAGTCACTTTGATCCGAAAACTACCCTTAGGACGTAGCGATAGTTGTTATGCCGTTCCCTGACGGCTGTCGTGTTCCCTCCCCCGTTGACTTAACAGCTTCATTGGACGAGTCTGATTGGCCTTTTGACGACGAGGACACATCCCCCGGGGTTGATCTAAGAGTGGTGGAGGCTTTCAAGATTGAGATGGAGAACACTGCGGATTACCGCACCTCTGTGGACGAGGAGCGTCTAAGTGCCGATGCGGGTTCTCAACCCTCTGGTGAGGACGAAGCGAGCTCCGACCCTAAATTCCGTGGCGACGATGCGGGTGATGCATCCTCGACCGCTATTCCTTGCCCTCCCCCAATTACTTCGGTCCCTGGTATCGCTCCGTCTTCCTCCAATCCCAAGAAGCGTAAGTCGCGTCGTCGGAAGGGGTTATCCAGTAGTCTTTCGCAGCTGGATTTGATGAACCTTTATATCATAAGGCCGGAGGGTTCCCAAAGTGAATATCAGGTGGCACAGCTCTACGTCGGGCCTTATGGGAGGGTTAGGGCAACGAAGCCGACGAACCATGTTCTGGATCCACCTCCCGGTTACTTCGGAGTGTATCCGATGAGCTTCTCCCAGGGTTTAAAGTTCCCCCTTCATCCATTCGTCGTGGAGTATCTCAACATGATAGACCTTCCACCTGCCTTATTAACTCCGAACAGCTATTCTCTTATTGTCGGGTTCCTCCTCCGATGCGATGAGCTTGGGATTGAGCCAACGACGGCGTTGTTCACAAACTTATACCGGATCGGCCGGGGCAGCCACGAGAACTGTGCTGGGTATGCGGCCCTCCAGCAGTTGCCAAAGAAGAGATCTTTTACTGACCTCCCGTCGTCCATTCATGGGTGGAAGAGTAAGTTTTGTTTTGTGAAACTGGCCGATGGGGTGTTCTTCCCCTCCCAAGGGCACAACAGCATTTTTAATTTGCACAACCCACCAAAGAGCCCTGAGATTGATGCTCAAGTGGAGGCGTTCCTGAAGGGTGGGCCGCGGAGCGTCAACACTTACATCACCGAGTTTAAGATAGCCGCTCTCGGGATGATGCAATACTACATTCTCGGCGACCCTGATTGCGGATTATGGCCGAAGATATCTGGCTATTTTGAGCAGGCCGACGGGCCCTATTTTGGTGTTCGGGCCGATGCCGAAGGTTGATTCCTTTCCTTGGGCTTCATTATGTTTTGCTTTGCTTGTTTCTCTAACTTTTTTTTTTTTTTGCATCTGCAGATTTCACCATGAGCCGTAAGTTGTTCATGACCCAGGCCAAGAAGATGGTAGACAAAGAGATGCAGGCTGCGCAGCAAGCCGAAGCGTCCAAGAGCTCGGCTGACGGTGCGAAGGAAAAAGCCGATGCGGCGAAAAAACCGCCGGTGAAGAGAAAGAAGAAGCCGGAAGAGGGCCAGCAGACTTTGGCCGAGGTGGGATTGAAGGCGGCCCAAGGGCCAAGAAGACGAAGCAAAACCCCGCCTCTAGTGGTGCTGCTGCGGACGTTTCGCGGGCTGCTGTAGCGGGGGGAAATGTTCCTGATGTTCAGGTGATCGAAGATCTGACTCTGAACGAGGCGTCGGCTTCCCTTGTCCCTACGTCTCTGAATCCTGGCAAGAATGTCCAGGCAAGCTCCCGAGGTGGTCGCGACTTGGCCTCCGGACTGTATGAGGTGACGGTCCGGTACCCGACGAAGGGCGGGTTATTCAACGAGAGGGTCTCCGGCCACGACGTCTTGTTTCAGGCCATTCCTGATGAGGATAGGGCGTATCTACGCCGGCAAGGCAAGGAAGTACGCCTTTTTGATGGTGGATTGGACTACGTCGTCCAAGTAAGTATATGATTTTGTACTTAACTTTTCTCGCCTTGCTTTCTTTTTCTGATTCTTTAGTTCTTTCTTTACAGGGTGCCTTGATGCTGATGGAACAGCACCGCCGGCAAGAGGAGGAGATTTCTCGCCTCCGGGAAGCCGAGAAGAAGGTTGCCTCAGCGGACGAAGTGCTCACTTCCTTGGAGCAGCTTCGCACCGAGACCGGATCTTTGAAGGATAGGGTCGACGCGGCAGAGAAGAGAGCTGCTGCTGCTGAGGATGTGGTGAGGCAGCTCCAGAATAAACTTGACGAAGAGGCCGCTGCTCGTCGGTTGGCAGAAGAGAAGGCCGAGGAGGCTATGAAGCTCAAAGCTCAAGCCGAGGAGGCGGCCGAGAAAGCCATTGACCTCTTCATGGCCGATGGGTGGAAGGACGACGCCCATCGGGACTTTTGCTTCAAGGTTGTGGCTGATCGCTTCCAGGCTTGGTCGCAAGAAGATCCGGCCGGTCAATCTTTTTGGAAGCAAGAGATGGAGGTCTTCTATGACCTTGGGCAGCGGCGTATGCAAATGCTGATCTACCGGAGGCTTCGCCGACGCGTCAAGAATCTGAGGCCACAGGGTATCAGCCTTCCCAGGCTGATGAAGGACTCTGAGGAGGAGTTGAAACTCCCCTTGGCCGAAAGGCAGCGTCCCATTTTGAGCTCTGATGAAGAAAAAGAGCCTTGGACTGAAAGCGATGACTACCTTTTCCGGAGCTCTACCAAGTCAAAAACCGCCGAAGATGTCGAGGACGACGCCGACAGTGGGGCCGTTGAGGGTGGCCAAGGACAAGCTGTTTAATGTTTTCTTGTACTTGCGTTTCTTTTTAAGTTGTAGTCTCAATGGCCGAAGCGCCCTGATGTATGTAATGGCCGAAGCGCCCCCTTTGTGTATTTTGAATCATTAATTAATGAACTCCTTTTGTCTCAGTATAGATGTGTATTGTCGCTTCGTCCATTTAGTAATGCGTGCTTCTACTTTGAAAATTTTTCCAGTGTCAAGATTTTGTCTTGGAGGATGTTGACGTCCACTCATCAGGACGTAGTGGTCCTTTCTTCATTTGTTGTCACCGGGGACGATGCACCTCGTCGTCTCTTGGTGTGCCGCTTTTGTCTTGAACAACTTTTCTGAAATTTCCTCAAGTACCAGGAATTTGGTCTTGAAGTGTTGAACATGCTGCGGTTGTTTGAGATGAAGCGTTCCTCTGATGTTTCAAGAGATATGCCTCCCTCATCGGAGACGATGCGGTTTGATGGTGTAGTATGTTTAGACGAAGCACGCACCCTTGATTGTGATTCGGGACGAGGCGCACCTTTTTGGATATGTTTCGGAATTTGTCAAGTGCTCAATCTTTCCTATGGTGCGACGCTGCGTCCCTTGCGTGTGGCCGCACCGGCTGGAGCTCTGTGTAAATGAATAGAACCTCCAAGGTTTTTCTCAAGTATAGGGAATTGTCCCGAAGTGTTGAAGATGTAGCGACGCGCATCGTCTTTGCAGTAATGTGACTTAGAAAATTTTCTAAGTGTCAAACTCGCCTTGATGGAGGTGTTTTTCTTTGGCTCATCACTTGGGTTCTGTCACTTGGAGACGATGTAACCCATCGTCCGAGCAATAGAATGTGGTTTCGTGTAATTGAAACCGGAGTGGTTCCATTTTACGAAGTTGTGGTTGAGGCCGAAGCGCTTTCTCCGGATTCCTGTATGGTGAAAACCTGATATGTACTTAGCCGATTTTGAGGCTTGGTTTTTGTGGGGATTTTATTTTATGCTCGAGGCTGGCGAGTGCGCGGTCCGTCGGCTTCCCTCTTTTTTTTTTTTTTGAAGCGGCCGGAGGGTTACTGTCCCTTCGTCCGTGTGCGGTAGTTTGTCCGCTACGCTTTGCGCGTGAATTAGTGCGAGGGAGTAAATACGCCCTCGGCTTGGTATGTCAGTGGCATCTTTTTTGGCCTTTCCACGTCTATCGTCGACGAGGGACCGGACTAGGCATCGTCTTTTGACGGCCGCCCTTTGTGGTCCTGAGCGAAATTTTACTGACGGGTGGAGTTTTTGTAACCTCGGCCTTAATTCAGGCTTGTCGTCCTGCGGTTTCCGCGCGGACGACGCGGTATGCTTCTCCGTTTGAAGACGTCGGACCATGCACACAGGTCCTTCGTCCTGCATATCGTCGGCCGATTTGGGTGTTTCACCGCTTGTGCCGATACGATATTTGGGTGCGTTGTCTATGCAACAGCTTTGTAGGCGCGTTGCGGATCGCGACGGCCTTAGGTGCGTTGTGTATTGCAACGGCTTTGGGTGCGTCGTTTATTGCGACGGCTTTGGGTGCGTTGTTTATTGCAACGGCTTTGGGCGCGTCGTTTATTGTGACGGCTTTAGGTGCGTTGTCTATTGCAATGGCTTTAAGGGCGTTGTTTATTGCAACGGCTTTGGGTGCGTCGTTTATTGCGACGGCTTTAGGTGCGTCGTTTATTGCGACGGCTTTAGGTCGCATCGGTCTTGGGTGTTATCACCGCTTAGGCCGATGCGATTTTTAGCTCTTTGAAAGAATGGATTGAAACATGATCTTTATTCAATAAGTGGCGCTAGGCCGAGGGTGTTTCATTCAACCAATAAGCCGAGGGGTGGGGGACGTTGCCCGCTTCACCACTTCTCGAGTCATTGGTAAAATTTCACCAGGGGGTGTACATTCCACAATCGTGGTACATCTGATCCATTAATATTCTTCAGTCTGTAGGTGCCAACTTTGATGACAGCGCTGATGATGTAGGGCCCTTCATATTTGAGGGCGAGCTTTCCTCCTTCCGTCGGCTTGCTCGCTTCCCTTCGGCGGAGGACGTAGTCCCCCACCTGGAATTCGCGGGAGCGGACCTTGACGTCGTAATAGGATTTGACTTGCCGTCTGTAGTTCTCCGCTCTGAGGTAGGCCATCTCCCGCCTTTCGTCGATGAGGTGCAAGTCCATCTTCATGGCTTCTTCATTAGCTTCGGGGTCGTATTGTGTGACCCGTCGGCTGGGGAGGGTGACTTCAGTGGGAGCCTTGGCTTCGAAGCCGTAGCACAAAGAGAATGGTGTCTCCTCGGTGGCCCTCCTTGGAGTAGTTCGGTAGGACCATAGGACGTTGGGGAGCTCGTCGACCCAACTTCCGCCTTCTTCTTCAAGCTTCTTCTTTAGCCCCTCCAAGATGGTTCTATTGGCGTTCTCAACTTGCCCGTTGGCCTGAGGGTAGGCGACAGAGGAGAAACGATGTTTGATGCCCCATTCTTGAAGGAGGCTTTGGAACGGTTCGGCCTCAAATTGGGTGCCGTTGTCTGATATGATCTCCTGAGGCACACCGAAGCGGGTAAGGATGTTCTTGTAGATGAACTTTCGACACCGCGCTCCGGTGATGCTTGCGAGTGGTTCGGCCTCGACCCATTTGGTGAAGTAGTCGATGGCGACGATGATGTATCTGTTGTTGCCTGCAGCTCTAGGTAGCGGGCCGACGAGGTCGATGCCCCATCTGGAAAATGGAATGGCAGTGCTGATCGGGGCGTAGTTGACGGCTGCATTTGCGGGCGACTTCCGCACAATCGCGTGCCATGGTCGGCCAAAAGTAGCCTTGGACGACGAGGCGGCGCGACATGCTGAAGGGTCCCTGGTGTGATGAGCATACACCGCAGTAGACTTCTTCCATGGCCACTTCGGCCTCATTCTGGTGGAGGCACCGGAGGAGTGTGCCATTGTATGATCTCTTGTAGAGCTTGTCACCCTCAATGACATAGCTAGGGGCCCTGAGCTTGGCTAGTTTGGCCCTCTCCTCGTCTTCTGGTAACGTGCCGGAGGTGATGTAGGTTGCGATGTCAGTGATCTAGTCCTCTGGCTGGTGTTGTATGAAGAGTATAGGGCTAGCGTGAATGCTTGACATGCTCAACTCCTCCACCTTCGCTATCTTGGAGATGTGCTCAGGGGTGTTGGAGCTGAGTTTGGAGAGTATGTCGGCCTCGGCGTTCTCCGCCCTTGGGATCTGAGTGATCTCGTAGGTATCGAACGCCTTGAGCAATTCCGCAGCGGCCTCCTTGTATTGCTTCATTCTCCCCTCTTTGGCCTCGTAGGAGCCCTCCATCTGGTTCACTACGAGTTTGGAGTCGCATTTGATTCTGATGTGGCATGCTTTGAGGCCAGCGGCTAGTCTGACCCCACTGAGGAGCGCTTCGTACTCAGCCTCATTGTTGGATACTTTGAAATTGAAGCGGATGGCATAGTATGCTCTGAAACCTTCCGGGGAGATGAGGACGACGCCACCCCCACATGCCTTGTTGGCCGATGACCCATCCGTGAAGAGGGTCTAGGCTTCATCTGGTTCATGGTCGGTGGTGGTGACGGCCGTCTCCCTCACTGTGCATTCCGTGACAAAGTTAGCCAAGGCTTGCCCTTTGATAGATGGCCTCGGCTTGATCTCAATCTGGTAATGGCTCAAGAATATTGCCCATTTGATCATCCTTGGAGAGCTGGTTGGGCTTCTCATTAGGGCGCCCAACGGCTGATGCGTGAGGACATGGACGGGGTGAGCTTGGAAATAGTGTCCAAGCTTCTTCACCGTGTGGACGATGGCCAGCACCGTCTTCTCAATGGGGGAGTACCTGAGCTCGGCCTCCCGCAACGTCTTGCTGACGTAGAATATAGCCTTTTGCACCCCGTCATCCTCCCTGATGAGCACAGAGCTAATGGTCGACGTACTCACCCCCAAGTAGAGGAAGAGAGTCTCGCCGGGTTGGGGCTTAGATAGGACGGGTGGGGAAGCGATATATTGTTTCAGCTCTTCAAAGGCCTGTTGGCACTCCGTCGTCCATTTGAAGCTGGTGGCCTTCCTCACTATTTGGAAGAAGGGGAGCGACTTCTCCGCGGATTTTGAGAGAAAACGGTTCAGGGCCGCGAGGTGTCCCGTCAGCCGTTGCACCTCCTTTATGTTGCGGGGCGGCTCCATGTTGATAATGGCTTGTATCTTCTCTGGGTTTACTTCAATGCCCCTTCGGCTGACCAGGTACCCCAGAAATTTACCTCCCTGGACGCCGAAGGTGCACTTCTTTGGGTTGAGCCGGAGGTTGTATTTCTTCATGATTTCGAAGATGCCCCGAAGGTCGTCGGCATGTGTTGTGGATTGTTTGCTCTTGACGATCATGTCGTCGACGTATGCTTCCATCGTCCGGCCTAGGACTGCTCTAAAAATCCGGGCTACCATTCTTGTATAAGTGGCGCCGGAATTTTTGAGCCCGAAGGCCATGATGAAGTAGCAGAAAATTCCCTCCGGGGTCATGAAGGCAGTCTTCTCTGCGTCATTTTCATGCATGGATATCTGGTGGTACCCTCTGAACGCGTCGAGGAACGACATCAACTCGCACCCTGCCGTCTCGTCCACCAACTGATCAATGTTGGGGAGAGGGAATGGGTCCATTGGGCACGCCTTGTTCAGGTCAGTGTAATCAACACACATCCTGAACGTAGGCGGCTTTGGGGCGAGGACGACGTTCGCCAACCATGTGGGGTACTTCACCTCTTTGATGTGCTTGATGTTGAGCAGCATGGCCACTTCGGCCTTGACAAATTCCCTCCTGTCGGCTGAGAGGTAGCGCTTCTTCTGTCTGATGGGGGAGGAGGCCGGGTTCACCGATAGCCGATGTGTGATTACCTTCGGACTGATGCCCGGCATGTCCTCTGGTCCCCATGCAAAGATGATGGCGTACGCTCTCAGGACAGAGAGGATGTCCCTTCGGATATCTTGGGGGAGCTGGGTCCCGATCTTCAGCATGCGTTCCGGCCGAGAGACGTCCAATGGAACCTCTTCCACGTCTCCGACCGGTTCGGCCTTTGGTGTGTCTTCTTCGACCGAGGCGGTGGTGATAGTATCTATCCGCTCCTCGGCCTCGTTAATCTTCCTTGTGAGCTTGAGGTAGCAAACCCTGGCTATCTTCTGGTTTCCTCTGGCGTAGCCTACGCCGTCCTTGGTGGGAAACTTGAGGCATAGATGTTTCATAGAGATGATGGCCTCAAGGTCCTCCAAGGCCGGTCGGCCCCAGATCATGTTATGGGCGTTGTCCAGGTTAACGACCACAAACTCCATGTTTATCTTCGCCTGATAGGTACCGTCACCGACCACAACGGGAAGCACTATCGTGCCCTCGGCGTCGATAGAGTCCCCGGTGAAGCCGGATAATGGAGTCCGTATCGGTCGGAGCTCGGTCTTCTTCAGCTTCAGCTGTCTGAATGTATCAACGTACATCACATTGACGGAGCTGCCAGTGTCGACGTAGTTGCGGTGGATGATGTTGTTGCCAATCTCGCACTTGACGACGAGGGCGTCCCTGTGGGGCAAAGGGCCGAAGGGGAGGTCCTTGTCAGTGAAGGTGATGGCCTCCACATGCCGTCGCTTCGGCTGAGGGGGGCGTGGGACACCTCACCAACGTATAGGGACTGAGCCCATTTTTTCTGTTGGGTAGCCGAGTCCCCCCCTGTGTTTCCGCCGACGATGATATGGATGTGATGCTTCTTCTGGCGGGGTTCCTCTTCTTCCTCGCCTTCACTGAGGGCGCCGATCTCCCTCTTTTTCCCGGAGGATCCTTCCCCCCTTTTGCCAGGGTTAACCCAAGTGTTACTCTTGGGGGCACCCTTGACAAATTTGGAAAGTTCCCCCTGTCGGACGAGGCCGTCGATGTGCCTCTTCTGAGTGGTGCAGTCATCGGTCTTGTGGGATGTCTGGCGGTGGTACTTGCAGTATGTCCCTCCTTTGTGGATTGCAAATATCTCCTCCTCTGATCTGGGGTCCTTCACAATGAGGCCCTAAGCCTCAGCGTGGTCAAGGACGACGCTCACCGGGTGGGTGAGGGGATGCGTTGTGCCTCCAACTTTGGACGCCATGAACGATCCTCTCTTCGTTGTCCGCCTGGCTCCTGGTGTGCCTTCTTCTGCTGGTTCTGTCCCTTGTTGGCTGGCGCATGGTGGGGGTTGGACGAGGAGTCCTTCTTTTGTTGCTTCTCCCCACCCTTCTTCTGGCTCAGGAGCTCGTCGGCATCAGCGTGCCTGTCTCTGCGTCGGAGCGTCGCGAGGTATGACCGCGGGGGCTCCGTGAACAGACTTCAGGCAAAGTGGCTCGGCCGAAGTGCTCCGCGGAGGAAGGCCAGGAGGGTGCATTCATCGGCTCCTTCGCACTCGTCTGCCTCCCTCGTCTAGCGATCAAGGAAGGCTCGGAGCGTCTCCTCTGATTGTTGCTTGATGGTCAGGAGATGAGCAAAATGCTTCTTCGCATGCTTCCTCCCAGCAAAGTGGGTGAGGAAGCGCTGAGCTAGGTCCTGCCATGAGTCAATGCTCCCTTCCGGAAGGTTGTTGAACCAATCGTACGCTGGTCCTTCCAAGGTGGAGAGGAACCAGCGGCACATGTATTCCTCCGAAGCGTTGGTCATCATCATGTTGTTCTGATAGCGGGTGAAGTGCTCCTGGGGATCAGTGCGGCCGTCATATGGCTTGATCGGATTCCCCTTGTACTTCTCTGGGATGGGGGCGGAGAGCACCCTCGCAGAGAAAGGGGTCCTAGTCCGTATTTGGATGACAGGCTCGTCGCGTCGGTCGGCCAACTCCCTCTCTAGGGCACTGACCTTACTCAGAAGTGCATCGTAATTGGGATGCTGGGAGGTAAGGGCCGCTGCGCGCCCTGCGGCCTCCCGGGCCTCCATGTCAGCGAGGCGTCTCTCGAGACGGGCAATGATCTCGTCCCTGGGATCCCTGGTGGCCGCAGCGCCACCTAGTGGAGTTTGGATCCGGGCTGTGTGGGCCTGGTTGATCTGGTGACGCGCATCATCGTCATCCAGCTTTCCTTTGCCTTTGTCTGGTCGGGGCCGATCCGTTGTCCGGGAAACGGACCCGAAGCTTTCCTTTGGTGATCCTGGCTCGCGACCACCCAACAGATCCGCAACCCTTCCCGTAGGTACCCGACGGCTCGCGATGTCACCCAGCCTGTTAAAGGCCGAGGTTTTACCGCGAGACTGTGCCGGTGTATCCCGGGTAGGAGAGGCGGTATGGGAGTGGGTGTCCACGGCGAGGACGCCTTCGTCATTGCCGAAGAAGGTGACGCCTTGTGGACGAGGTGGCGGTGGTGGCACCGTCGCGACCTCTCCAGTCGCCGGAGTGTTGTTCTCCCCGATCTTTGCGACAAGCGCGCTGACCACGTTAGGGTCCTGGAGGATGCTTGCGACGATGGCCGATAGCGCGGCTGGGTTGATCTGGGGGGCAGTAAGGGGAGAACCCTGTTGGCCCGAAGCGCGATCAGCAGCGCGTCTGTCCTCGAGCCCGATGTGGGCATCTGGAGCAATCCTGTTAAGTTGGGTGCGAAGGTCGGCCGCTGCGAGCTCGACCTCCTGAGCATCCTCTTCATGGACGTTGGGGTCATTAGGGACGTTGTCAGCAACGTTTCCCTGCCCTTCCTGGTTCAGGGGGCGTTCCTACCAGTGTTCTTCGACCTAGTTCTTGTCATAGCTAGCGGTAGTGTCTGGTAGCGACGAAGGGTACTCACTTGATCTGTTCTAAGCTCTCAATGAAAGCACCAAATGATAAAGTATTAATTCTAGAGAGAAGTGAGAGCTAGAGAGAGAAAGTGAGTAATTATATTTCTCAACTTGGAACCCCCATAATTAGCCCTTTGGGGTCTATTATAGGTAAAAATGTGGATTTGGGCTCCTAGCCTTGGGCTTCGGAGGCCCATTACAATAATCATACCTTTTTGGGCGAAATAAGGCCACTAATGGGTTGTGTACAATACTTAGTAAATACAATGAAAAATACATTCTGCCTGGACGAAGTCCGGACGATGCGGTCCATGAACGATGCGGACCCGGACGATGCGGTCCTGGACGATGCGGATTCTGGGCTTCACTCAAAGAATCCGGGTGATATCTTCTTCTGTGGACGTCGCGTGCCTTTGGCCGATGCGGGTGTCCCGCTGGTGTCTTTTGGGCCGTTGAGTATGTGGGCCATGGGGTCCAGGCCCATATACTCTATCAAGAAGTTAATGCAAAAGTCCCGATTGCAGTGGTTTGATTATGTTTGCAGAAGACCGAGTGATATGACTGTTAGACGACTTGAGAGGTGGGGAGAAGATGCGTGGAGGAGAAGGAGAGCAAGACTCAAACATACTTGGATTAGAGTAATCAGAATTAATATGCGTCTTCTTGAATTGGATGAGGGTATGACTTTAGAGATAACAAAGTGCAAGGCCCACATTCGTTTGGACAATTGATCTTTTTTCTATCTTTTTTTCTTCTTTCTCTTTTATTGTTTATCTTCCAATATTCTTATGTTATTTTTATCTTATATCATTCTTTTGCTTTTTTATTTTTTTACTATTATCTTTCTATGTTCTTATGTTATTGTTATCTTATAATTATCTTTATCTTATCCGATTTATCTTAGTTTATTTTTTATTCTTTTTTTCTCTTTTGACTCTAATATCATAGATGATTTATGTTAGTGACTCCAAAATCTTTTAAGATTAAGACTTGGATGATGTTGTTGACTTGTTGTATACTCCTATTCTTCTATTTGTTTGTCTACATCATAACAGTAGACCATTCTTCTACTTGTTTGTCTACATCCAAAATACTCATTCAAAATAATGTACTCTTAGTAGACCATTCATCATCATCCATCATCATCACCCCAGTGCCACAAAGGCTCCCACCTACGGTGGGTGGGGGGGGGGGGGGCAAATGTACGAGTCTTACCCCTGTACAAAAGCACAAAGAGACTGTTTCCGGATGACCCATAGTGAAAATCGCGTTGAAAGTTGCATGGACTAACTGCTGATTCACACAAAGAAGCGCACACGGTTTAGTGAGCCATTTTGCTTTATTCCATCATATTCTCAAGCCAAAATGTTTGGCTCCATTGCAAATGATGGAAAGTAGTGTTAGTAGACCATTCAAAGGGTAAAAACAGATAGTGAATAAAAATCTAATAACAGCTCTAAAGCACCTCACAAACTCCAAAAAGCGGAGAAAATAAATAATACCAGAATGAATATTAAATAAGAAAATATATGAATACTAATTATTACATTGAGAAAAGGTAAATTCCCTTTTTATAGTATATGTTAGCACACAACGTCCCCAACCAATGAGGACTGGGAGAGGAAATACAAATGAAACTTCCAACACTGGGGGTTACAATAACCAATATTATATTTCTTATTGCCACTCCCAAGTCCCATTCACACTCTCAGGAATTGGACTTCTATGTATAATTTGGGGACAAAACGGATAAATGGGTTTATTCAATTTCCAATAAACTTTTAATAAAGACAGAATAACAAAAACAAACGCACGCCTCATACACAGCAGAAAAGAAGTTTGGAATATTGCCTTCAAATATAATCATGTCTGAGTAGAGTCTGAAGAGGCTGCATTTGGGCCAGTTGTTCCTTCAATCCTATCCTTACTGATTTCCAAAAAGTGGCCCACCATTTCGTAGAACTGCTTCATCCCTGACAATGGGAGGATGATAGAAGAGCGGTCGGGACCAGTGACCTGCAATTGCGTGTTTTCATGGCATATGCGTGAAATGAACAAGATGGAGCCCGTTAAATTTTGGTAATTTTATGTGATCTGAACTCTCCATGTGGTAAGCTAGTTACAACAATTTGTAGTTGCTAGAGGATCCATTCTAAAAAATGCAGAGGAACAAACTAGACATTGGTTAATAGGGTAAAATACACTTGGATCCCCTAAATCCGACAGAGGTTGGCAACATTAGACAAGTAGAAGTTTCTTTGTGTAAATTTAGAACCCATCTTTCCAAATTATAGAGAATTTAGTTGCCCACCACCCATAAAATTGCAAAACATGCTAGAATTCGCACTGAACCAATTGGTTGTGACTTTGACCATATTAATTTATAATGCCAAAATGCATATTTATAAACAAACATTATATAAAGCCAGAAATTAGCATTCAAGAAGTACACTGTTAAATTTTTCAAAATTTATAAAATTGTCAGGTAAGCATAAAAGATACCACATATATTTTACCCCAGTAAATGAAACAAAATTATGATGCAACTTCCAAGGGCACAATACTAATCTCGGACATAGTATTGAAGTCAGTTTGGGAATTGTATCTATGGGCCTCATAAGTTTTAAAAAAAAAAATCTTCTTGTTATGCAATCGAACCTCAGATATTCTCAAGTAGTGGCCCCTATTGTTGTTGCCAAGATCAAAGAAGAATCTTTTCTGATCAACCCTGATTACTTTAGAAATCCCTAAGTTATTAACATCTTCTGGCGTTGGTAAATCAATTGAGTGGTCCACTTTCGAGTCAGCTGTTGGAGTAGGTTGGGTGGTGTGGCTGGATATAAAACCAGCACCTACATCATCTGTAAGTCCAAGCCGGTCAGCTGAGACTTCAGAGTTTTGCTGCTATGTCACAAAAAGGGAAAAGATCAGATAGGGTTCACTTGGAACCCAGAAAATACCTAGCAATAAAAATATATGCAAGAAACCATAGAGGAAAACCAGAAGGAAGAAAATGTGGGGGGGGGGCAAAAGATAAGCTTAAACTCAATTAATCTATTTTATATATTTGTCGATACTTATTATGTGTATTCATATATAACGTATAATGAGTGATGAATCTAAATGTATGCAAAGTAATATTAAATAATTCATATTTTATTCTCGTTTGCATTTTCTGAACTCAAACCAAACATAAGAAAATAATACTCCGTATTACTTAACAAGTTTTATCCTTTCCCGAGCATTTTCCGTGATCCAAACATGTCCTCAATTATGAACCAAGAGGAATGGGGCCAGTTAAAAAAACGACTTATGAAATGCAAATACCTCATTGGACAGAGTGTAAAGCCTTGAGGCTTCATTTATTTCAGCCAAAATATTCTTAAAAGCAGACCAACCCTCATCGTGGGCACTACCTGCAGGAATTATGATGGTACTGCGGTTTCTGCTAGCTGAAGCTTCAGATACCTGCATGTACAAAAAGCGTAGGCTAAAATCAACTTCTAAAACCAATTGAAAAAAATTAAATCATTTAGCAAAAAAAAATGGGCAGTTCCAGACAGCTATAGAGCAAAATTTCAAAATTTTCAGTTCCACTAAATGACTGGTTTTAAATACTCCCTCCCTCGTTTTTTATTTGACCCTTATTCCTTTTTGGGTAGTTTTTTATTATTTGTCGCATACTCGCATTTCCATTTTTTGAAACTTCTACCTTAGTTTTACACATGGTAAAGTCTATGGTACCCTCAAGGTACCATACATTTCCATGTGGACCAATTAGAGTATTGCAGTTGAATCATTTAAACATAAAATAATGATGAAAAAACTTGGACCCAAAGGCGGAGTCAAGGGGTCAGGGTAGTCAGCCGCCCCCTGAAAGTTCAAGAACACGGAGCTTTGAAATATGTTCGATTTGATATATTATGATTCACATAACTCATTGCGAGTAAAAAGTCATGGCTCCTGGAAAATCAGCACTGTCTAAACTTGAAATGAGTAAAATTTGATGCGTAATGTTGCCTCAAATTTTAAAAATAGCGTCCAATTCACTCATTACTCACGTGACATTTATAACGTATATGAAATACATATCAAATTGATCACTCTATCTCATTTAAACTACTATTCATCTAAGTTACGACCCATTCAACTGAGGGATTGTTTAGAAACGACCCACCCTTTTTATTCTTTATTTAGTTAAGTTTCGACCCCCTCTGTGTCGTTTTTCTGGTTCCGCCACTGCTTAGACCAATCAAATGCATGCTAGGTACGGTACCCCCATTTTTAAATGAGTACCATAGCACTCACCTTAACATATTCCCTTTTTCCCTACTATTTCTCCATTTTGTTCCTACTTTGTCTCCATCCCCTTTCTACTTTCATCTTCTCTACCCTACTTTCGTATACTATTCATAATCCATACTATTCTTCTTCTAAATCTTCTTCAAAAACCTATACGGA